CCTTCTCTTCTGCAGGCTAAACATGCCCAGCTCTTTAAGCCACTCCTCATAGTGCTTGTTCTCCAGACCCTTGATTGTTTTAGTCGCCCTCCTCTGGACACATTCCAGCTTGTCAACATCTCCCTTCAATTGTGGTGCCCAAAACTGGACACAGTATTCCAGGCAGAATAGAAGGTTACCATGATTTTCCTGGATTTAGACACTATACTCCTATTTATGTAGGCCAAAATCCCATTGCCTTTTTTTGCTGCTGCATGACATTGTTGGCTCATGTTTAACTTGTCCATGAGGATTCCAAGATCTTGTTCACACGTACTGCTCTCAGGACCCGCAACAGGACTCACTGTTGCCATTTTTGAGAAGCAAATGGAACCATTGGACGTGATGAGTAAGGGGTATGACCCACAAGTCAGTGAGCAGGGAAATTGGACTCTACCTGAGCTGTAAAGGTAGCCCAGGGAGGTGTGAGAGGGAAGGGGAAGCCATAGCACAGTTCCACCGGGTGAACATTTCCACTTTCTGTGCAATGCCAAATCTTGGCCCGTGTGAGTCAAGGTCTCCCCAAAGATGACCGTTCAGTACTCTGCCAGTCCCCTTTCTTGACTCTCCCTTTCTCCTCCCCTTTAGTTCTGGCAGCTCTACAATGCAATCACGCTGTTTGAACTGTCGAGGCATAAGCAATGCAAGGAATGGCAAGTAAGTCTTTTGCTTTCATATAGCCCAATAAGACTGTATGCAAACTGCTTAAGCAGCTGAGGGGGAAAAGAAAAGGGCAGGAAGGTGTTAGGAATTGTGGGAGTTGAAGTCCAAAACACCTGGAGAGCCAAAGTTTGCCCATGCATGGGTTAGCCCCATTGATTCCTAGGACTGTTCTAGTCAGGCCTAATGATAGGAGTAAACCTTGTTGGAAATAGCAACCTTCCAAGCCTCTACTAACTGTTTGTAAATGTGTATAATTGTCGAAGGCTTTCATGGCCAGAATCAGTTGCTGTAAGTTTTTCGGGCTGTATGGCCATGTTCCAGAAGCATGCCTCTGAGGATGCCTGCCATAGATGCAGGCAAAACATCAGGAGAGAATGCTGCTGGAACATGGCCATGCAGCTCGAAAAAATTACAGCAACCCAATGTGTATAATATTGTATGTCCATTTTGGTTTGCCAGTTTGACTGTACCTCTTTGGTGTGGGAGGGGCTTCAGACACAGGACTCCGTTTTATTATACAGTATACTTTTAGACCTCAATGGAGGAGGATGTAGTGTGTCTCCTTTCAGGCTTCAGTGAGTACGGTTATACAGTTTGGACTATATCTATATATTTAAAGACATTGGACTATGGGCTAGTATGCTGAAGTTTGTTAGTAAACCTGAGATGTTGTTTTTAAAGAAGACTACTTTGTGTTTTTTAAAAATCTTTGAATGCATATTTTAAACAAGAGGTTTTTAAGGGAGAGTAGATAGGCAACTTCAGCTTCAAAGAAACAACCATTCTCTACTAACCCAATATATTTTTGTAGTGGCATGTCTTCATCCTTGGCAGTTTAAAGACATGGTTCATCAGTTTAACAGCTGAGTCACCTGTGTGCTATTACATGAATGCTTATGAATATCACTTGTTCAAAGAGTTGACTTCTAATAAGGTCATGCTTTCCTTGACTAGTGGTTTTCAAAAGTGGTCTCCACATGTTCGTGGAGATTCACATTTGCCAAATGGATGTGACATCATTTTTGCCTTTTCAATGAGGTTATGGTGCACTTATTTTCAATAGGTTATGGAATTTCCAGTAAACCTAAGAGCTGAGATGGCCTGCTGCTTGGGAACAGGGCTCATATTCCCCCAAGATGGGGGAATTTCAGGGTGTTTCTTCATACATTTGTTTTTCTTCTCTCTTTTGGAAGCACGGTGCTCATCTAAATTGTACCACAAACCCCTGCTCTCTCCTATTTCCAGGTTTTTGTGCTGGCTCTCACCTTTCTAGTGCTCTTCCTTGGCAACTTCCTGACGACGCTGAAAGTGGTGCACACTAAATTCCAGAAGAACAAGCTCAAGAAGTTGTGAGAACGGACGACCGTGCTGCCGAGAGGCACTCGGAGCCTGGGCCTGTCGTTCTTTTTGCTCTTTCCTCCACTGTGATTGGACTTGTGTCCCAGACAGTCTTCCTGCTTTGACGCTGGCCCTGTGCTCAGCCAACCCTGGAGAAATGCCATCCACACCGTGCCCTGAAGTCTTCCTCCTCCACTGGCCCCTTTAGGGAGTGCCGCTCTCCCAGCCGGTAGCCTACGGATAGCACACTACATTCCCCCCCAAACCTCTGGCCTTTCCAGAGGAAAAAAAAGACTCTCCGGAGACAAAGGAAAGACCCTTATTCTGGAATAAAGCTTTGATTTAGTGCTGTCTTTTGGTGTTCCACCTCTTGGACTCTTTCTGACCACCCCCAGCTACTGTGCATGGTGCATTCCACCCAAGGCTGCCCCTTTCCTGGTGGCCTCTTGGAAAGTGGACTGGATTTCTGTTGAGGGCTAGCATTAGCATTTCAAGGGAAATTTTGCAAGGTGACACCTCCCAAATTGAAAATGGTTTTACCTCCCACGGTCCCCTTATGGGGCACCTTTTTGGCCTTCTTTGAGCCATTTTAGGGCTAAGGGAAGTGCTTTCTTTATGGGAAATGATGTTGAAGTCACCTTCTGAGTTGTATCCTTTTGAGAAAGCTTTCTCTTCGACCCAGGAAGGCCTAACTAGGCCCAAAATGGGCCAGAACTACCTCTTGTTCCCTCTTGGTCTAAAAAGTGGGGAATTAAGCAAACACGAGGGACCTAGGGAATCAAATGGGCCCTCCTGTAAGGATAATCTGAGAGCGGGACTGTTTAAGGTTCTTCCTCACTGCTTGTTTTCCCTTGCTGTCAGTGAGCAACATATAGAGCGTATATAGAGGCTCTTTTATCCTAGGGAGCCTCTTCCAACTCAACCAGCTTCTGGGGCAAGAGAGTAACTAGATCATCTCTTGAAACACAATGAATGATATTGCTAATATGTCACTTTGCTGGCACAAAAGTTGAATGAACGTTCTCCATCTCTGGTCAAACCTTGTTATGCCTTGAGGGGGGGTAAGGAAAGAATAGCAAATAAAAGAACTGCCTCCGCTGTAGAGTGGGTTTGCTGTTGTTGGCTCTCATCCTATGGTTAGGACCTGTTTATCGAATTTTATACATCCCTCCTTGAAATGCATCAGAATCATGGCTTTGAAGGCAGATAGCCGTTCCCTCTAGCCTTACCCCATTGGCAAAAGTTTAAGAATAAGCCAAACTGAGAGAACTGAGGCCTTTTAAAAATACCTACCATATTTCTTCAATTGTAAGACACAATTGATTGTAGGGCACACCTTAATTTAAGTACCATCAACAGATACACATAATATACATCTGCAATTCTGAGACACGCCCCATTTTTAGATATGTTTATATTGGGGAAAAGTGCATCTTAGAATTTATTTATTGATTCTGTTAGAAGCAAATTGAGAATACAATTATAATGTGTATATATATATAAAAAACCACAAACAAAGTTAAAAACTTGGCATTATACTAGATTTTCTTTGACCAGAAGCTGGCCACTTGGAGTGCCTCTGGTGTCATTGTGAGAAGGTCCTCCATTGTGTATGTGGCAGGGCTCAGACCACATTCTAGTCAGTGGTCTGTGGTTTGCTCTTCTCCACACTCACATGTCGTGGACTCCACTTTGTAGCCCCATTTCTTAAGTTTAGCTCTGCATCTCGTGGTGCCAGAGCAGTCTGTTCAGCGCCTTCCACATCGTCCAGTCTTCTGTGTGCCCAGGAAGGAGTTTCTCATCCAGTCTCATCCACTGATTGAGGTTCCGAGTTTTTACCTGCCACTTTTGGACTCTTGCTTGCTAAGGTATTCCTGCGAGTTTTTCTGTAGATCTTAGGAAGCTGTTTCTTGATTTAAGGTCTTGGCTTGCTGGCTGATATCCGAGCAAAGGATGGGCTGGAGATGTCAGTGCCTTGGTCCTTTCATTATCGGCTGCTACTTCCCAGTGGATGTCAGGTGGCGCAATACTGGCTAAACAATATAATTTCTCCAGTGGTGTTTAATGTAGACATCCTGTGATAGTGTGACATGTCTCATTAAGAGCTACATCCAATATTTTAACATGGTAAGATGTATTCCACACTGGGCATGCGTACTCAGCAGCAGAGTGGCAAAGCACAAGGGAAGACATCTTCACTGTATCTCGTGATCCCCAGGTTGTGCCAGTTAGCACTCGTAATATATTATTTTTAGCACCCACTTTTTGCTTGATAGTCAAGTAGTGCTTCTTGTAAGTCAGAGCACAGTCCAGAGTGACTCCCGGGTATTTGGTGTGCTGCAATGTTCCAGTGGGATTCCTTTCCAGGTAATCCTCAGAGCTCGAGATGCTTGTTTGCTCTTAAGGTGAAAAGCACACGTCTGCACTTTAGATGGATTAGGAATCAGCTGGTTTTCCCTGTAATTTGGCAGTAAGAGCACCTAAAGCTTCAAAGAGCTTCTGTTCAACTATTTCAAAGCTCCCTGTTTGAGCGGTGATGGCATGATCATCAGCATAGATGAAAAACTTTGTCCCTTCTGGCTGTGCCTAGTCAGTTGTGTAAGTGTTAAACATTGATGGAGCAAGCACGCTCCCCTGAGGCAGGCCATTCTTCTATTTTTCCATCTGCCTCCCAGGCCCTGGAACTCAACAAAAAAGCTGCTTTTTGTAGCAATCTTAGAATTAAAGAAATACAATATTCTGTTTTACTCTCTGGTTCAAAAGGTAAAACCCTACTTTGGTTATCATTCAAATGCTGCAGGACGACACATTCCTCTTGCTTTCATGCTGCTGTGTCTGATAAATTCTGCTGAAAAAACTCTTTCCAAACATTCTTTCCATGTGCAAGGTATCAACAGATTGGTTTTATTTTCTGGCGCTTACTTTTGGCGATTGGTTAGCAGGCAAGATAAAACAAGGGATACTTCTCATTGCAGTTTTATTTCCTTGATTTATAAACACTTGGAAATCAAACAGCAAAGATCTCAGGAGGGTTTACAATGGTCTCTTATACAGGTCCAACGCTGTTTGGCAATAAAAGTGTTACAAAATAGGGTACAAAGTCTGTTACTAAATTATAAGAAGTTCTTTGAGGTTTGCATCTTGTTAAATATCTTTCTTGCAGGTAAAGAGAGAGGTTGTGACCTTTTAAAAATGACACCCTACTTTTAATGTTGCCTCGAACAGGAACAAAGGAGTTACCATACTGTCATGTGCAAACAGTGTTGAGAAGACCACACAGTATTTCTGTTTTTTTGTTTGTTTTTTTTATAAAAGTAAGATAAGCAAGTATATGAGTATTTTAAAGAAAGCTATGTTGTGACATTTAGGTATTTGCGGTACCTTCCAGAAATGCACCATAAGTAAGAAAACAACCCCAAATTTTCATTCCATGTGGATGAGGTATAAGTAAAGCAGAAAGTACTACATGAAAACAAATTAGCTTTCCTATTAAAATCCAGTCTCTCTCTCTCTCTCTCTCTCTCTCTCTATATATATATATATATACAGTTTGAAATAAGATATTGCTTGCTTATTGCCGAAGAGAGCTAGCAAAATGCTTTGGCTGGGTCCGTGTAATGTCAGGAGTATCATAATATGGCACACGGCTTGGATTTTGTCTGTCGTTTGGCTTTTTTCATAGTGTTGAGAGCAATGCTGGCAGCTTCCCGGAAAATGGGCTCGACGTTTTCCCGGAACTTGGCGGAACACTCCAGGTAAATGTGGGCGTTCATCTGGCGGCTGGCATCTTCACCCTAGAAAGGAGGACATCGACAAGGCATCAGGCTAAAGGTGAGCAACAAGGTCAAAGAACAAAAAGTATTTCTGTTTTACCTGGGAGCAGTAAAGCATCTGCGGTGCAGAGAGTGCTGCCTGATATAAAAAGATGAGACAATGCTTCCCCTGCTGTGTATAACTGAAAGTGACTGCGGTGGACAATGTTGTCTAGGGGAATATCTGCCTAAGAAAACTCTCTGAAATGTACGGGGTTGCCATATGTTGACTTGAAGGCACACACTCATCCAAATCTGTGTATAACCTTGGAAGTTTGGTTGGTATAAGGAACTACAAACATACTTAATAAGAGGCATGTTCAACTGATAGAGGAAGAATTTGTTTCTGAGACATCACGCATAAGTCTTGTTTGGGGGTAATTTCCAAAGAAGGAAAAAAATCAGTTGAAAAAAGGTAAAGCAGCAGCAGTAGCAGCATATCAGAAAATTCTGGTGCCAGCAGTAGAGCAATTGAGCTTCAGCAATACTGTTGCGCTCCAGGCCTGGAAACACCTATGATCACCGCACCACACAAGAGTCCAGGTATACAAGCAAGCAGTTTATTGTAGAAGCATATAAAAAGCATATAAAAATCAGGAATAAGAAAGGAAGATATATAATCCAAAAAAAGTTTAGCAACAGGTGATAACCAAACAATAATCCAAATGTCTCAAAGTTCCAAATATGACAACGTTCAGGAACAGCCAGGAATCACAGATACAGCGTAAGTCCACAATCCAGAAGGTATGACGAATAAAATTTGGAACAGGAGTACATGAACAGGAACATAGAAAACTTCCAAGATGTATTAAATCCAAAATCAAAACTTGACTTGAATCAGGAACAACAGCACTCAGGCTTAGCTTCTCACTCTAACACAGTGTTGCCTGAACTGATCTTAAGATAAACAATTTGTTGCTTAATAGAAACTCATGAAGTCATTCTGTTTCCCGTGAATTTCCCATGTAATCTCTGAACAACGCAATCTATTTTTGGCTCTGATTTGTAAATGAGGACTTTTGTTGATCTCTGTAGCTACAGGTCAGTTCTCATGGGAACCCTCCTTATCACTCAGCTCTTCACTCGATTTCTTATCTGCCGTAGCTACTCTTGACTCCCCTGAATGCCCTCGAGGCTGCCTTGCACTTTCCAAGCCCATTTTCTTACAGAGAGAACTATCTAGTTCCAACAGACCTCACTACCTCTGAGGATGCTTGCCATAGATGCAGGTGAAACGTCAGGAGAGAATGCCTCTAGACCATGGTCATATAGCCCGAAAAAACCTACAACAACCCAGAGAGAACTATCATTTCCCAGACTTGAGAGCCCATCATTTTGTACCACAGGAAAGCTCACAATCCGCTCTTAAATCATCAGTTAAACTATCAGCCTCTGGTGGCAGATCTATAACAAATACAGAACTAGAGTCAAGCTTAAAAGATATGAAAGACTGTATTCAAATAATTACATAACTAAATAGGAAAGTAAACACAGGGCCTGTCTAACTAACTCACAGCAGACAACTTGTTTCTCTCCATGCTCACTGGAAAAGAACAAAAAATTGAGAACTCAGGAGCTTTCCATGTGTTCAGAAAGGGAGAAGTATCAGAAAGGTGATTGGAGGAGAGAACAGCGTGGCGGACCGACAGAGAGGCCAATGTGGGAAAGCTTTCCCTGCCAACAAACTCCTCTGCCAATCTTAAGTCCTTGATGAGGACCACAAACTTGTGTAGAATGTGGCTGAGTTCTAACATGCCTTTGCTGTGTACCCACCTGGCTGTAAGTGATGGGCTCCTGCTGAGCCGAGCGGAGTCTGCGCAGATGTTCTTTGTCTTTCCGGAGGTCTGTCTTGCAGCCGACGAGGACGATGGGGATCCCACGGCAGAAGTGGTTCACCTCATGGGACCACTGGCAAAACAAGAGATTAAAGTTTTAATGGGAAGGTGGAAAGCAGAGCAGATGGCTAAGAAGCTACGTTAGGAGGAAGCAGAGGGAATGCCAATGTGCAAGGCAACCAAGATCAAAAATCTGGAAATAAATGATGGAAAACAAGACATCATCTTAGCCTTGAAACCGATTTAAGCTAGATATCCGGCTGAAAGAGCTTTTGACTAAGCCCTTCAGGATTAAGAGGCTACTGCTGGAAAAGCTCTGTCTTCCCAGTACTCAGCCCCAGTCACCTCTAGTGTTAGGTGGTAATAATAATAATAATAATAATTTATTTGTTACCTGCCTGTCATGAGGCGGAGCACAACACAGTTAAAACATACCCCCATAAGATATATACCATAAAATACATAGATTAAAACACACCACCACCAGATACATATATTAAAATACAATAGTGATAGTACTCCTGAAAAGGGAGTACTGTCACTATGGGTCCAGATGGGGAAGGAGAATGGTTTAGCAATCAGAATGTTTATATGGTCTCTATATTGTTTTAAAGCAGAACTCCCACGATTTATTTTGTATTCCGGAAGTAGGCATAGCTCAAATGGCAGAGTAGGCTTTAGAAGGCTGGGAGTATGGCAGAAGCTTGACGAGGAAACTTCCTTTCTTTGAAAATCTAGACCAGTAGTTAGTCTAAGTTCTGAGCTCCCAGAAGTCCCAAGAAACAGAAGAAATGGAGACAGAGAAGTCAACAACATCAGAGGCAACTCAAGGTTGAGAACTGCTGGCCCAATAGATGTTATCTGGATGGGTTTTAGAACCTTCATAGTTGGCTTCAAAGATGTAAAGCTTCCGCCGAAAGTGCCTTACCTTAATCATTACATTCTCAAAGCTAGTAGGGTTCATGACGTCATAACATATTAAAACCACATTGGTGTTTTGGTAGGACAGCGGTCGCAGGCGATCGTAATCATCTTGCCCTAAAACAGAGAGAAGATAGGATTTTTTAATTCGAACCTAGTTGGCTGAATTGCTGTGTGTGATAATGAGAAACTCCCCAAAGGGAAGTGGCTTTGGGCGAATTTAAGAGCAGCACCTTGTGCTCTACACACTCAAGACTTTGCAGATTTGTTCTAGCATCTGCTTTCAAGGCCTAGGGTCCATTTCGACAGATGTGTAGCTACTGGGACGCATCTGTTTATTTCTAAAGGTGCCATACAAAATTTGTGGCTGCAACAGACTAACAGGAAACACTCTGAAAGTGTAACCTGGTTTTCAGGGATGTTATGGATCTGGCAACGAAGACTTCTCATTGGAGGGAAGGATATTGGAGGCAAAGATGAAGTACTTTGGCCACATCATGAGAAGAAAGGAAAGCTTGGATGATCCTGGGGAAAATGTAAGGAAAAAGGAAGAGGGGCAAACCAAGGGCAAGATGGATGGATGGTATCCTTGAAGTGACTGGCTTCACCTTGAAGGAGCTGCGGGTGACCACAGCCGACAGGGAGCTCTGGCGTGGGATGGTCCATGAGGTCACGAAGAGTCGGAAGCGACTGAACAAATAACCAACAACATGGATCTGCATGTGAGTTATTGGGGATTTCACCAAACCATAGCTCTGTGGGAAATCCATGGCTGCTGCAGCAGTTTAAGGTAAATGCACTCCTCCACAAAACACAAGAACTGTTCTCCTTCGGAGTCAAAACACAAATGAAAGTAGTCTTTACTAAGACTGACAGCTCCTCCTAGCTGTAGTTTGAGAAAAAAAGAGGTGATCAACAATATCTGTTTCTAGTTCTGTAGTTACTTCTGTGCAGCTGTCAGGATTTTTGTATTGTTTGACACATCCTTGCAAGATTGCACATAGACAAGAACACCCGTTGGGCAGCCATTGCCAGCAGCAAATAACAAAAAAAAATATCAAATAGTACCTCTTGTGCAACATAGTTGTTAACTGGGTCTTTTCTAAGTTTGTAGAAAAGCACAAGCAAAATAAGAAAAACCCTTTACCAGGCCTACAGGCAGTTCCTATCTCTATGGGTAAAAGTCAAAACATGTCTGTCTGTCTGTCTACCACAACAGCTGTCGCTAGGTGAAGTGCTCTCTGTGATGTCACTGGGAAATAAAGGTGTCATGTGTACAAGGGGAAAGGAGGAAGGAAGGAAAGAGCCACAAAGAGAGCCAAGTTGCTGTAGAGACATTGTAAGGGAGGCTCTCTCAGAGCTGGAGAAGGGAGAAAGGGGAGCGAAAGGAAAGTAAAAAAGAGAAAAATAATGGAATGGAAAGGAGAAGGGAGGAAGGGAGGGAGGAGACATTGCTGTCATGGAGACATTGTGAGCTAGGCCCTCTCACAGCTGGAGAAGGGAGAAAGGGGAGTGAAAGGAAAGAAAGAGAAAAAGAAGGGAAAGGAAAGAAAAAAGAAGGCATGAATGGGAAAGTAAAAAGGAAGGAAGTCCACAAAAAGTACCATGTTGCCATGGAGACATTGTAAGGGATGCTCTCTCGGAGCTGGAGAAGGGAGAAAGGAGAAGGAAGGCAATAGGAAGAAAGAAAAAAGAGGGAAGGGAAAGAGAAAAGGTATCAGGGGAGGTTAAAAGTAGGGTGAAACACCATGTATATACACTAGTAAAGCAATACACTGTCAAGTAAGAAACCCACAAAGTGAGGTAAGAAACTGCACATGTGTACACCTCTTTACTGTGTACTTGGAGGAATATCAAGGTGGGAAACCTTTGAACTTTGAACACATTGACTTCAGAATGAATCCACATCAGCATTAGTCCTTTGGGCAGTCAGACATTTGTGGCGTTTCCCTGGAGTGACAGCCCCTGGGACTCCACCTTTGTGTGGGATTTCAGACCGTGTACTCGTACACCTTCAATCTCCTTGCTTTCCCGAGGGTGCTGTCCTTTTGAGGCCCTCCTCCCTTCAGCCCCTGTTGCCTGTGCCATGCTGCATTGGCTTAGTCAGAATGGAAGCAAAGGTTGGATGCCACAAACCTGTCATCTGTGCAAATTACACAACTCCCAGGCAGTGATGGGCTCCTTTGATGTGGAGCAGTAAATAGTGCAAGAAAAAGACACAGGACTCTTACGCCAGGGCAACCATGCCGAGGATTGGCTTGTATTGCCAAAGCCAGCCTAAAGGTGTCCCCTCTGGTGCGCACTCTGCGCTGTGGCCCATTCAGAACCCCCTTTGCCTCGGTCACCTCATTTGCAACTAGGGAAAGATTGCCTTATCTCCTGAGGCTTTGGGAGGGCTTCTTGAGATAAAGCAAAGCTCTATGAATGTCCCAACAGCAGGGCATGAATGTGAGCATTACAGTCGTCCCTCCACATTTGTGGTTTTGACTTTTTGCAGATTTGATCAAGACCTTCTTGTGTCCCAAAACCCAACGGATATGGAGGGATGGATGACTATCCTAGCAAAGCTGCTTGGGAGCTTCTTTTGGTGGTCTGTGACCATGCTTGTGTTTGGAAAGCATTAACATTTGGTTTTCCATCTATAGAAAACACAAAACGGCAAGTTCTCAGGCTTCTTTGCCAATGGCAGCAAGAGATTCTGTTCATAAGCTATTAACCAATTTGGGGGGGACCCTCCTGATAGACAAGCTGCCTGCCACTGTGTCATATTTCCCCAGATTTCTTGCACTCCAGAAATTTGAGGAAATTTTGACAAAACAGAGCAAGGTTTTCTTGAAAGCGAAATTACCTGCTGTGTCATATAAGTGGAGGAAGACTTCTTTCTTGCCCACAGTGACGCTGGTGGTGTATTTCTCAAAGACGGAGGGAGCGTATTGCTGCCGGGAGAGGGAAGTACCGAGCTGTTAGTCCACACTGTGAAACCCCCTCATATCTCCCTTTCGACTTTCTCAGGACCCCCTTCACTCTTTCAAGTGCCTGTCCTTGTAAAAACCGAAAGTTGTATTGACAAAAACACAGCACTTCAGGGATACCACTTGGCTGTTTGGAGTTAGGCAATGTTATGATGTGAAGGCACCATAGTATCAGGAAGAGACCCCCCCAAAGGCCATCCAGTCCAACCCCCTTCTGCCAGGCAGGAAAATACAATCAATCAACCCCTAACAGATGGCCATTTAGTTTAAAAACACCCAGAGAAGGAAAGAGACTCATTGGGTCTCTTCCTAATGTTCAGGTGGAATCTCTTTTCCTGCCTTTATTTATCTTATCTATCTGTCTGTCTGTCTGTCTGTCTGTCTGTTTATTTATTTATTTATTGCATTTCTATACCGCTTTTCTCACTCCTGGAGGGACTCAAAGCGGTCTACAACATAATAAATGGCAAAAAATCAATGCCTGGCATGCATATAAAAACAATACATCACATATCTAAATAACATATAACTGTAGATTTTAAAACATTACAAACTATAAGAAATGTCAAACAAGATCATAAAACATTTTAGACATTGGATCAATCCCGTGGTTGCCCTTTAGCTGCTTCAGTTGCCAAATGCCTGCTTGCATAGCCAAGTTTAAAACTCTTTTCTGAACATCAGGAAAGACAGGGCTGATCTAATTTCACTGAGGATGGAGTTCCACAGCTGAGGGGGCACCACTGAGAACGCCCTGTCTCTCACCCCCACCAATTGCACCTGCGAGGGTGGTGGGACTGAAAGCAGGACCCTCCCAGCTGATCTTAACACTCTAATGTGCTCATAAAGGGAGATGCATCCAGACAGGTAAGCTGGACTGGAACCATTTAAGGATTTATAGACTAAAGCCAGTACTTTAGTCTATTTAGTGACTGACAGCCAGTGGAGATGATGTAACAGGGGGGTTGTATGCTCCCTGTATGCCTGGACTTGAAGCTGCTGCTGCCAGAGCCCCAGTTGCAAGGAGGAGATTGCAAACAGGGCTCTGGCAGCAACCTCCTGATCAGCAGGTAAGGAAGGAAGGGTCTAACGCTGGGCAAAGGGAGAAAGCAGGAATGGTGGTGTTGGATTCTTCATTCCTTTCCTGCTTTTGACGCAAGGTAGGAAGCCCTGTTCGCAGGCTGGACTGCAAGGAGGAGGAGGCAGCCGAATTCACAGGTCAGTGAAAGCAAAGGGACAGGAGAAGCTTCACCACCCTTGTAAAGAGGGAAGGGAAGGGAGCACATAGGCGATCTCACCGTTTGGCTGGCCCAATGGAAGACAGCATCCTTTGTGAGTGGTTGAGAGAGGGGTTGATTGATCTCAATGATCCACGATGTAACTGATTTTTGCCTCAGTGGTCCATGGTCTCTTAAACGTTGGGAAACACTACAATAGGGCCACACTGGTTGCAAAATTAGTTTGAAAATGGTTGTGTTCTTGTACTCGGGCATATAAATGCCGAAGTGTGCAACCGGCTCCAATGTGCTAACAACTCAGGCTGTGACAGGAAGACCCATCGTCGGCACATCCTGCCACAATGCGGTTGAGTTAATAGGGCAGACATTTTCCTGAGATCGTGGCCCAGTAGAAAGCCTCCCCTGGGTGAATTCCGTCCGCCTTTGGGCTGGAGAGAATATATATGAGGCCGATGGGCCTGGCATGGAGAGTGACGTTGCTTGGGCGACAATTCTGGGAAATGAGGTTTCGAAACCTTGCTCAACTATTGAAAAACTGGCATCACACACTTCTCCCTACATAATACTTTAAAAACTAAGGCTAATTGATGATACTGCAAGTTTGGGTTTAAGTCCTGAAAACAATGTGAGCGTAAGACGGTTATGGCTTTGCAATTTTTGTGAAGATATTTTCACTTCAAAACTGTTTCTCTTGGCTTGCAATCTGCCTCTTGTCCCTTTTGGCACAGATGTTTGGTATTACACTACGTCACACGACTCTTGTTCCTGGGTTATCAATGTCATTTCCTAATTGGCTCTATCATCAAAACACGGAAAGAGTTTATTAAACTGCCAACCCTTTGTTTTTACAGGAGGGACATTTTGCAATAGATTCTCAGTTAACCAGCACTCAAGTAACGGAAACTCTTGAGTGGCAAATTAATTTGAAGATATAATACTTTAAAGAAACAATAAAATACAATTATTTTTAACTCTCACATACTGTGTTCACAAAGCTGTTTGTAAATTGTCAGTACAACTGTGTTACATTGTATTTGACTTTATTTGCCTCAACTGTCTTTTAATGACCATCTATCAATATCAAGTCAATCCAGAGTTCATTGGATGGTATAGGATTAGTTTGAGTTATTTTGAATAGGAACTTTAAAGCAATCAGAAACTACATTGATCTGACATCTACCTATCTTCGTGGAGTCTGGGGCCACTTCCACTCAGCTGCATAAAATCCACACTGAACTGGAACATATGGCAGTGTGGACTCAGATAACCCAGTTCAAAGCAGATATTGTGGATCATTTGCCTTGATATTCCAGGCCCCCTTCCATACAGCTGAATAAAATCCATACTTAACTGGATGATATGGCAGTATGGACTCAGATAATCGAGTCCAAAGTAGATATTGTGGATTATCTGTCTTGATATTCTGGGTTATATGGCTGTGTGGAAGGGACCTAAGAGTCTACTGTCTCTTTTAGATGTCCTTCAGTCTTAATTTGGGTCTTGACAAGATCCCAAACTCAAGGGACCCCTTTATGATTGAGTCACAGCTCTCTTGATTGTAGGGACTGGAGGGCCAAGCTTTTGAGGCTGAGAGAGTGTGCCTTGTGCAAGGATTCTCCTCCTAGCGTTGAACCCTGCTCCCTAGAGCCGTGGCCTGAGGCCCAAAGCGCCCCTCCAGCCTGGCTCTCAAGAGATACAAGGGAAGAGTCCCATTTCCAAAAGGAGGGGGCTCCTCTCCCTGCCTTCCAGGGGTTTTGGACTTCAATTCCCAGAATCCCTAACAGTTGGCGACGCCGACTAAGGCTTCTGGGAGTTGAGGTCCCACTACCAAAGGTAAGCAGAAGATGTTGGAATGTGACTGGAACATCCCTGAGGGCGAGGGGCCAATTGGGGCGGGGGGCGCGCGGGCGGGAAAAGTGAGGGTGCTGATTGGCTGGTTGGCGAGGGCGGGCTGGAGGGGCCCCGCTCTCCCCTCACTCACTCACCTTCGGGAAGGCGCCGCGGGCGTAGACCAAGAGCAGCGAGGTTTTCCCGCAGCCACCGTCGCCCACCACCACCATTTTCAGCTCGTGGGCTTCTTGGCCGTTCTTCTTCTTCCTTGCTCCCTGCTTCGCCGGGTCACGGCCGTCCTTTCCCTCCGGGAGCGAGCCGTTGGTGTGGGCCATGAGGGCCTTGAGGGAGCCAAGAGGGGGGAAAGCGCGGGAAAACGCTTCTGAGGGGGAAAAAGTCCTCGAGTTGGGCGAAGAACCTCCTCGCTCGCCTTTGCTTCTCAAGGCAGGCTGAGAGCGAGAGGAAGAAGAGGAAGGCTGCGGTTGGGGCCTCGCTTCGAAATTTCCCTCACCGAAGAGGGCGGGCGCCCGCTTTCTTCTTCCCGCTTCGAAAAAAGCGACATTTCCGAGGAAGGCACCATCCCAACCGTCCCAGAGCAGCCTTTGCTTGCTCTCCAGATGCTGGGCTTCAGGCCCCAGCGGGTCCTGACCTCCCAAGGACGAAGAATGGCAGCCAGCCTGGCACTAAACCCCCTTCGAGGGGATGTCTCAGTTCCTCTCGTTTATGGGCATCCCATGACGTGCTCTCAATAGGATCTCGGACTATTAGCAGTGGTTCTCAACCTGTGAGTCCCCAGATATTTTGGCCTTCAACTCCCAGAAATCCTAACAGCTGGTAAACCGGCTGGGATTTCTGGGAGTTGTAGGCCAAAACACCGGGGGACCCAAACGTTGAGAACCACTGCTGTTAGGAAAGAAAAGATCCCTGTGTCACTTTAACAGCTAACAAGTGTGGCTGCAGCCTGCTTGTTAGCCACATTGACTCAAGTCTCATGCTCCATCAAATCTCATTTACAAAACCCTTCTGAATATAATGTGCTGCGGTAAAAAAGTGCCCTCTCTGTCATTTGTCCATTAAGTATTAATTATGAGCTTTGCTCTGTGAGAGATAGTGGATTATATTCTCAACCAGGCATGAGCAAACTTTCTAACTTGGAGCCACATGGTGGGCCGGAGTGGGGTGGGTGGGCCAGGAGTGAGGGAGTTCTCCCCAAGCCACATCCCTACCCTTTCCTCCCCTTCCTTTTTTTTGGAGGCAGAAAGTGAAGGAAAGATGGGAAACCATTGCTCTCATGTGTTTGGATCCCAAAAGGGTTAGTCTTGGTCAGGATGGGATGGTGGATGGGAGAGAAAAAGTGTATCAATTAGACCCTGTATTGCCTACTCCTGATATAATAATATAACAATAACTTTATTTTTGTATCCCACCTCCTTGAAGGGATTCAGGGAGGCTTACATGGGAACAAGCCTGATCAACATAGCTGAACTATAACACATTAAAATTCATAAAACAGCAACATAAAGCAAAATAAAACAACAGCATAACACAATATGAAAACAACCATTGAACAGACAAGCAGTAGCCTGAAGTAGCAAAACAGTTCTGGGCTCTGGTGAGAGGAGCCCATACAAATCAGTTGTGAGGACAGGGCTGATAGATAAAGTGCAAGTGCCAGATGACAGAAATTGGGGATAAAGGGCAATATGAGGTGGAACACTATATCTCTGGGCAGGGGACAGTAGTAAAGTGCAGGGACTGGATTTTGAGTCATAGCTGGAGGCCAACATTTTCTGAAGAACTGTCTAATTGAAAGCACATTGGAACATCCACATTTTTAGATCTTTGCAAAAGATGGACAGGGTAGGTGGCAGCCTGATCTCCCTGGGGAGGGAATTCCAGAGCTGGGGAGGGGCCCCACTGAGAAGGCCCTCTCCCTAGTCCCCACCAACCACATTGTGAAGGAGGTGGGAGTGAGAGGAGAGCTTCCCCAGAGGATATTAGAGATCGCACAGGTTTGTAGGGGAAGATGCGATTGCGAAGATTGGCAGCTCCCAAACCATTTAGGGCAGGCATGGGCAAACTTTGTAAATTGGGGGCCACATAGCGGGCCGGGAGGGAGGGGGTTCTTCCCCAATCCCCTCCCTGCCCTTTCCTTCCTTTCCTCTTCTCTTTCGGAGGCAGAAAGTCAAGGAAAGATATTTGGATCACCAAACAGTTGGCCTTGGTCAGGATGAGATGGTGGACAGGAGAGAAAAAGTGTATCCATTAGACCCACTAGTAACTACTGATATAGAATCCTAGAGATGGAAGAGGCCCCCAAGGGCCATCCAGTCCAACCCCCTGCCATGCAGGAAGGCACAATTAAAGTCCTCCCAATAAACAACCTCTGGGGAAAAGCCTCCAGAGAAGGAGACTCCACCACACTCTGAGGCAGCCTATGCCACTCTCCAACAGCTCTTGCTCTCAGGAGTTCTTTCCGATATTTTCAGTCGAATCTCTTTCCCTGCCATTTGAAACCATTGCTCTCATGTGTCCTGGTCTCTAGAGTAGCTAAAAGTCAGTTTTCCCCCTCATCCTCAATGGGACACCCCTTTAAATCTTGAAACATGGTTCTCATGGTCCCTCTCTACCTTCTCTTCTCCCAACTAAACATCTCTCAGGAGAAAAGAAGGAAGGAAAAAGAGAAGGAAGGATGGGAGGGAAAGTGAGGGAGGGGAAGGAGGGAGGAAAGATAATGAAGGAAAGACAAAAGGGAAGGAAGGAAGGAGAAAAGGGGAAGGAGGGTCGACTGTGAGAGCCGTTCAGCAGTGGAACTCTCTGCCCCGGAGTGTGGTGGAGGCTCCTTCTTTGGAAGCTTTTAAACAGAGGCTGGATGGCCATCTGTCAGGGGTGATTTGAATGCAATATTCCTGCTTCTTGGCAGGGGGTTGGACTGGATGGCCCATGAGGTCTTTTCCAACTCTTTGATTCTATGATTCTATGAGGGAGGAAAGAGGGAAGAAAGGACAAAAGGGTGGAAGGAGAGGGAGGGAAGGGTGGAAGGGAAGGAAGGAGGAAGAAAGAACGCTTGATAGGTGATAACCTGCACCTTGAATTGAGACCAGAAACTTATCGGCATCCAGTGGAGCTGTTCAAACAGGGGGCTTGACCGCTCCCTGTAATTCACTCCGGTTAACAACCTGGCTGCCGATCTTTGCACTAACTGCAGTTTCTGGGCCAGAGTGAGTTACAGTAATCCAATCTGGAGGTAACTAAGGCATGGACCGCCACAGTCAAGTCAGTCAAGTCAGGTACGGTCACCTGCTGGTGCACAAGCTTTAATTGCACAAAGGCCCTCCTGGCAACTGCCGACACTTGAGCATCAAGCGTCAGCGCTGAGGCCAGGAGGAGCCCCAGACTGCAGACCTGTGTCCTCAGGAGGAGCGTAACCCCATCGAGCACAGGTTGCTACCCTATCCCCTGATCTGCCAAGCAACTGACCTGGAGGACTGTCTTGTCAAGATTAAGCTTCAGCTTGTTAGCCCTCATCCAGCCGATCACAGTGGTCAGGCACTGGTCCAGGACCTGGGGAGCTTCCTTGGAATTTGGTGGAAAAGAGTATTAGAGTTGAGTGTCATCTGCGTAGAGGCGACGCTGAACTCCAAAACTCCAGATGACCTCACCCAGTGGTTTCATGTAGATGTTAAAGAGCATGGGGGATAGAAAAGAACCTTGCGTGACCCCACAGGTCAAAGGCCAGGGGTCCGAGCATGAATCCTCCAGCTTCACTGACTGCATGTGGCCCTCCAGGAAGGAGTGGAGCCACTGTAGTGCAGCACCATTCTGGAGAGCTGACCCAGAAAGATACCATGGTCGAAAGCTGCTGACATGTCCAAGAGAACCAACAAGGACACACTTGTCAAGTTCTCTACAGAGGTTATCCACCAAGGTGACCAAAGCCATCTCGATACCATGACCAGGCCTGAAACCAAACTGCGATGGGTCCAGAAAATCGGTTTCGTCCAAGAATCCTTGGAGCTGAAAAGCCATCACTCAGTCCAGAACCTTGCCCAAAAAAAAGAAGATTTGAAATTGGCCGGTAGTAATTCAGTACTGAGGAATCAAGGGATGCCTTCTTCAGGATTGGTCTTACTATTGCCTGTTTCAGGCAGGATGGAATTTGGCCCTGATCCAGTGAGGCCCTGATCCTTGAGCTGGAAGAGACCCCCAAGGATCATCCAGTCCAACCTCCTGTCATGCAGGAAGGCACAATCAAAGCACCTCCGATAGACAGCTTCTACAGAAAAACCTCCAGAAAGAAGACACCATCACACTCCAAGGCCACCTAGGCCACTCTCCAACCGCTCTTACTCTCAGGAAGTTCTTGATCTTTTCAGTCGAATCTTTTCCTCTGCCATTTGTGCCCTGGTCTCTAAGAGCAGCAGAAAGTCAGTTCCCTCCCCCATCCTCCTCAATGGACCACCCTTTTAAATCTTGAAACATAGTTCTCATGTTCTCTCTCTACCTTTTCTTCTCCCAGCTCAACATCCCCCAGGAGGAAGGAAAAAGAGAAGGAAGAAAGGAAAGGAGAGGCAAGGAAAGGAGGAAGAGAAGGGTGGAAGGGACAGGAGGGAAGGAAGGAGGAAGGGAGGGAGAAAAAGGGAGGTAAAAAGGAAGGATAGGATGGTAAGAGAGAGGAGGGTCTGAGAAAAGAGCCCAAGGGGCCACATCTGTCCCCTGGGTCTGAGTTTGCCCATACCTGTTCTAAAGAAATCCAAGTTGGCCACTTTAGTACACACACTGGTTACATCGTGGTTTGACTACTGCAATAAGCTCTATGTGGGACTGCCCTTTAAAAAGTGTCTGGAAACTTTCATTGGTCCAGCGTATGGCAGCCAGATTGCTCATCGGAGCTGACTCCAGGGAGCATACCACCCCCCTGCTGAGACAGGCCCACTAGCTCCTGATTAGTTTCCGAGCCCAATTTAAAGTGCTGGTTTTAACTTATAGAGCCCCACATGGTTTTGGTCCAGGATACTCGAGACACCATGTCTTACCCTTAAGATTGAGCAGTGAGACACTTATATAATAAATAAATAAACTTTGTTTATATACCATCCTATCTCCCCAAAGACACTCAGGGTGATGTACAACAAAGTCAGTAAACATTAAATGCCATTAATTTTAATTGTTTTTTATATTGTATGTTTTAATGCTATTGTAAACCACCTTGAGTGTGTTGGAGAAAGGTGATAGAGAAATTTCCCAAATAAATAATAATTTTATTTCTTACCCGCCTCTCCTCATGGCACAAGGCAGTTACAAAACAATTACAATACATAAACACAGCAAAAATACTACCAATACCCACACTAAAACGTACCTCCATAAAAGCTACATATCTTAATGTATCTCTGTGAAATACATATTAAAACCAATAAAATAGATGGAACAAAGGAAATGCATTATGTTTATGTTTAAAGACTGTCTGGATAGGTCTGCTGGAAGAGACAGATCTTCGCTTGTGTCTTAAGTTCTGACAGCTGATTTAGCTATCGGAGCTCTACCGGCGGGTTGTTCCACAGCTATGGGGTGGCTGATAAAAAGGTCCTCTGGGTGATGGTTGCTGGTCGGGTTCTGGCTGGTTGGACCAGATGCCCTCCAGAAGACTGAAGTGTGCAGGGCAGATTGTATAGGAGAAGGAAGGTGCTTCTTTAGGTTATCTGGACCCAAACCTTGTAGGGCTTGAAAAGGTCAAAACCAACACCTTGTGCTTTGCCCAGAAATGAATTGGCAACCAATGGAGTGACTTTAGGATAGGTGTCATATGCTGACTTCTGGATGTTCCTGTAATCAATCTGGCTGCCTTATTTTGAACTGGTTGGAGTTTCTGAACTTGGTACAAGAGTAGCAAAATGTAAAGTGCATTGCAGAAGTCCAACCTTGAGCTTACCTGTGCATGCACTACCATCTTGAGGTCCTCCAGATCTAGGAAGGGGTGCAGCTGACGGATCAGCTGAAGCTGCCAGTAAGCACTCCTGGCTGTTGTCGCATCTCCCTGCGCTGACATTTGAGGAGATGGATCCAGGAGCCCTTGTCCCAAGCTGCACACAGTCTTCCAGGGGGAGTGTAACCCCATCCAGAACTGGTTGACACACCTCCATCCCCAGATTAGGACCCTTGATGGCAAGCGCCTCTGTTTTGTTTGGGTTTGTTTTTCCTTGTAATGTTAAGCATTATGAAGTTAACAAACTTACCTACCATCTTTTATAGAGATAAC